CTGGCGACCCCCAGGGGGAGGGCCTTCTCTGTGGGTGCCCCCACCCTCTGGAACGAACTACCCCCCGAGATCCGGACGATTCCGGATCTCCTAGCTTTCCGCCGCGCCCTCAAGACATGGCTTTTTCAGCAAGCGGGTCTGGCCTAGGGAGAATTTTAAATAGGGACAATTTTAATTATTATTTTAATATGACACAGCGACAAATATTTGTTTTTAATTGGTTTTTATTGGGGATAATGTTTTGTACTGTTTTAATATGCTGTGAGCCGCCCTGAGTCCTGTGGGGAGAAGGGCGGCATATAAGTCTAATAAATGAATGAATGAATGAATGAATGAATGATTGTTTCTGAAATAATGTGAGAAACAGTTGTATTGCAATCATGATGATAGAAAAGCTAAAGTGAAAATTTTTATTGACATGACCTCTGCAAATATAGTTTTTGTGGTCTATTGTAAATAGTCTCTTTGGGGTTTTCTCACAACAACACTGTAATAAAGGCTTCTTGATTCAAATGCAACTTATATATCATACGATATAATTTCCATAAAATACAACATATTTCTTAATTTCAAATAAACTCTGGCTTTCAGAACTTAGTATCTTTCAAAAACAGGCGGCTCAATTTTATTCATTTATATTTTCACTCACCAGGCAATTTCTTTTCCAGTTGCTGCTGTTCTTCTTCTAATACTGGTTCTTCTGGTAACCGCTGCTCTACAGACATTGAACTAGTGACAGATACACCACTGCCAGAGCGAACTCTTCTATTAATAAAGAATAATACATTAAAATATATGCTCACATAAAGCTACTGTTATTCATTCTAATATTGTCATTTTACTTCCTTCCCAACTATGCAGATAACTAATTTAAAGGTTAAGGTTCAGGATTATTAAGCCTAAATAAACTGCAGTGCAGGCATTCATTGGAAACTAGTACAATGGATGAATTCAACTTACAAAGCCATTTGTCTGAAACCGTGATATAAAAGTCTGCTCTACAACAAGACTGCATGTGTTCATGATTCGGTAGTAGACAAGCAGGATGAACTGCCATACATTACTGAGACCTGGCAGAGGCAGGGAAGCAATGCTTCCATCTATTAAATCTGCCCAGCTGGTTTGTAGGTTTTGCAACAAGAAGACTGTCAAGGAGGGATGTGGCATTGATCTAGTGCAGGGGTATCAAACTGCCGGCCCATGGGCCGGTTTCATCATACCGGAGCCACACCCACCCCATTGCCGGCAATGGCGAAAAAGCTCTGATACGTTGCGCGACGTCACGTGATGTCGCGAGTTTGACATGTCTGATCTAGTGTAACATCTCAGTTGTGGCCGAATACCTTTCTATGCAGTTATGCTCTAAGGAAAAGTTAGAGATCCTTTTGTGTACAGGGTAAGCCACACTAGGAAATTTGTGATTTATTAAAAGTAGGCGACCCTAGTACTAGCTATTCCCTAGAGCAGGGGTCTTCAAACTTGGCCCTTTTATGATTTGTGGACTTCAACTCCCAGAATTTCTCAGCCAGCGTGCCTGGCTGAGGAATTCTGGGAGTTGAAGTCCACAAGTCATAAAAGGGCCAAGTTTGAAGATCCCTGCCCTAGAGCGTAATTCCATAAAAAAGTACTCAGTTGTAATAATAGTGACTTGTGTGATTGTGCTATGCTCTCCTTCTTATACTCATGTCTGTCTAAGCTGTTTACCCATACTTTCTACTTGTTTTGGACTTAACCATATTTATCTTGATACACTGGCAATGGATCTGGCCTATCTTTATCAAGGTAATCTTTCTTTCTTTACAGCTGGCTGCACTGCTGTTCTTGAGGATCCCTTCCTGAATTTCCAGACCTGGTTGTCAACTTAAGTTATGAATATCTCTCTTCTATGTTGATACTGTAGTTTAGTTCTTCAATCTCCAGGTGAATATTACTGGGTTAGGTTGGAAACTGGGCTGTGCAAGTGGTGGGTGAGGGCACAAAACTCCATTTGTACATGTGCAGGATTAGGTTGCATACACGAAACCATCCCCTCCCCCCACCAGTCTGCGGGGCCAGAAAGGTTGGGGACCACTGTAGTAGAGCTCAAGAGTTCATGGCCTTTATGACCATGTCCCAGGTTATCCTGGCACCAACACACATGGCTGGTCACATATTAGACGTGGTTTTCATCTCTTAGCAATTGCTGTATGATCTGGATACAGGGGACACAATGATTTACCATTTGTAATGAACTGATCACTTTCTCACATGCAGTTGACTATTGCCTGCTTCCTTCTGCCAGGCTGTACTCATTTGAATAACCCACACCAGACCATTTATGGATCCATCTGATTTCTGACAATAACTGGGGATTTTCCCAATGATCTGGCAGGGAAATTGTTGATGACCTAATTCAGGACTGGTGTGAAGTGGCATTTTAAACACTTGATAAAAGTTGTTCCAAGAGACTTCTCTTTGCTGGCTGATTCCAGGTGGCCCTTGGTTTCCAAGGACCACTGGTAAAGGAAGAAGCAGAAGCAATGCCCGTGGTGCAGAAGAATGGCTGAGACTGAATTTGACCAAGTACAGACACATGCTTAAGTTGGGCCTACTCTTTGGTGATAAGGCAGGCAAAGCATTGTGACTCCTCCTCTCTTATTATGTTTCATTCGGGCTGCCATCCAGAGGCTCTATTTGATGGTCAACTTGCTTTTTATAAGTGCTGCTCTGCTGACTTATCATTTGACTGTTCTGACAAGTTTGTCAATAAAGTCACTCAAATTTGCTCTTATGTAGACTCCACTTGCTTGGAGTCTAGGTGATGATTGGGGCATCATCTTGCCAGGTTATTTATTCTTTGAGGAAAGAATAAGGTGCTCTGTAGGTTCTCTTGACCATCTGGGTTCTGGATTCTTGCCCCTCCTGGATTCTTTGGATAACTAGAGTGGGATTTCCCTGGATTTGGGAGGCTGTCTCATTGTCGGAGGGGTCAATACTGGCGGTCTTTAAAAAAAGGATTGGTTCATCTCTTCTTTAAGAGACTCTAGAGATAATAAACAAATACTGTGCAGTCTCTAATCTTCATGTTTTGGCACCTGGAGGAAACAGTCTATCTTGACCCGCTCCAGTCGGGCTTCAGGCCGGGATACAGCACGGAAACGGCATTGGTCACATTGGTGAATGATCTCTGGAGGGCCCGGGACAGGGGTTATTCCTTTGTCCTAGTTCTTTGGACCTCTCAGCGGCTTTTGATACTGTGGACCACAATATCATGCTGCGGCGTCTGGTGGGATTGGGAGTAGGAGGCACCGTTATACGGTGGTTCTCCTCCTTCCTCACCGACCGCACGCAGTCTGTATTGGCAGGGGGACAGAGGTCGACCCCAAGGCCCCTAACTTGTGGGGTGCCACAAGGGTCGGTCCTCTCCCTCTTATTGTTCAATATTTATGTGAAGCCGCTGGGGGAGATCATCCGTGGCTTTGGGGTGGATTTCCATCAGTACGCTGATGATACTCAGCTGTACATTTCCACCCCAGGCCACCCCAATGATGCCCTTGACGTGATGGCCCGGTGCCTGGAGGCCGTACGGGTCTGGATGGGGAGAAACAGACTCAGGCTCAACCCTTCC